GGTCATTGGATGCAAAATTCACTTTTCTATGGTGTTTGCATATAAATGTGTCTTTGCAGTATGTGAACACAACCACCATTTAATAAAAAAACATACCTTCACTTTTTTTTAACCTCAAAAAGAGGATAGAGAGTCTAAACACTCTCAATAATGAGGCCTTTTGGATTTTCAGAGCACTATGATGTCATAATTCTCATGCTCCACCCATGACATGTGTCCCAAATTAGCATATTTCTGCCCTTAGCCATTGTGATGCACTACAATCCACCGACAAGAAAGTTCTATCCATGTTATTCTTCCACTTATTGTTTGAGCTTCAAAAGTCCACTTGATGTCAAAGTGATGGATGACAAATGCGATTTGAATTTCGACTCGAGTTAACTCATATAAGTTTGCCCTTTTGAACTATAATAAAAATTGCTCATTCAGTGCCATGGCCGCTGACGTAAGCATTATTTATTTGATATTATCTCTGTGCTCACCAAGTTTGATCACCAAAACTTTAAGATTAAACAAGACGGTTCATTCATATTGTTATAAAAATGTGAGAGTAGTAAAGAAGTGTTTGGAGAAGTGTAAATCGCAGCTTGGCAGAATAAGTCCCGCTCTGGTTGTCATAGAAATGAAAGCTTTAGCATAAGTTCTGCCAGGAAGACTTAATTACCGCGTCACGTGTTACGTTCAGGCTATCCAATCATGTTCTTATTCTTGTGGTATAAAAGATCGGTACTTACACATGTTTGAGTTCGCAGATGGCGACGCGACAACAACCTCCACCCTCCCCACCACCACCAGGTTGGTCCCGTCTACACTTCCCGGGGGATCGGCTGCGCCCCTGCCTTCGTCTTCAGGCAGGAAATGCTGATCCGCTACCCTCGGATTACGATCTATGGACGGGGCCTACGCCAAAGAACTTTGACAATAATTGCTTGCTGGGCTGTCAATAAATGGATGCTTTGTTACATCATTTTATCTCCCGAGTCTTTCTGGTAGAAATATGATGCGTTTGAGACTACACATTCTCGTTAGCTGCCTGCAGCAACCTCAAGAGCTTTTAAGCACAATTTGTGTGTTTTTTTAAACCCTATTTCCTGGCTTACACTTTTCTTATCCTGAAATGAAATGTCAAAGAAATGTTCTAGAATGTTCTAGAAATGTTCGCCCATATCCTAAAGTTGCAAGTTACAAAAAACACACAAGCAGTGCCGACTGATCATGGCCGGTTGTTTTCAGAATACGTTAGTCAGGATCAAGCAGGTTGTGTTTCCACTCTTTTTCTTTCGCTAAGATACTGGTCAAAGAGTGTTTTGACACCATGCGAGTAATTTTTTTTCATCATAGGTTTTTTTTTTTTTCAGTATCTCAGTTGGGTGTATATGTTTCCGCCAAGTGTATAATGATAACTAAATAAAAAAAGGCTTCCTGGAGCATTGACCCAATGAAAATACAACTTTTCAGGTTTGAGTATTTATATTTGTTGGACTTTCAAAAACAATGTTGGAATTTAAAATGTTTAAAATTTAGTTTACAATGCATTAATCACTTGTTTATTTATTAAAAATATAGCCTATTTTTAATGCAATAAACCCTTTAAATTTTTGAGTTTAAGCTAATTTGTATTATTATTAATGTTATTATTATTTATAATAATAATTTTACTTGACAGATATTGTGTTTTACGGTAGGTAGTATGCCATACGGAACCGTTGACTGAACCTACATTAACCAAGGCAGTGGAGCTCGACAGCCATAGTCAAACGGGTTGGCGCGTATGGTTGGGTTGTTGAGAGATTGTGGTTAGGTCATATGTAAACTACAACGACATTCAGAACTGCCTTAATTATACGTGGCATTGATTCAACAAGGTGCTGAAAGCATTCTTTAGACATGTTCGCCCATTTTGATAGGATTGCATCTTGCAGTTGATGGAGATTTGTGGGATGCACATCCAGGGCACGAAGCTCCCGTTCCACCACATCCCAAAGATGCTCGATTGGGTTGAGATCTGTTGACGGTGGGGGGCATTTTAGTACAGTGAACTCATTGAAACCGATTTGAAATGATTTGAGCTTTGTGACATGGTGCATTATCCTGCTGGAAGTAGCCATCAGAGGATGGGTACATGGTGGCCATAAAGGGAAATGGTCAGAAACAATGCTCAGGTAGGCCGTGGCATTTAAACGATGCCCAATTGGCACTAAGGGGCCTAAACTTTACCAACAAAACATCCTCCACACCATTACACCACCACCACCAGCCTACGCAGTGGTAACAAGGCATGATGGATCCATGTTCTCATTCTGTTTACGCCAAATTCTGACTCCACCATCTGAATGTCTCAACAGAAATCGAGACTCATCAGACCAGGCAACATTTTCCCAATCTTCAACTGTCCAACTTTGGTGAGCTCTTGCAAATTGTAGCCTCTTTTTTCTATTTGTAGTGGAGATGAGTGGTACCCGGTGGGGTCTTCTGCTGTTGTAGCCCATCCGCCTCAAGGTTGTACGTGTTGTGGCTTCACAAATGCTTTGCTGCATACCTCGGTTGTAACGAGTGGTTATTTCAGTCAAAGTTGCTCTTCTATCGGCTTGAATCAGTCGGCCCATTCTCCTCTGACCTCTAGCATCAACAAGGCATTTTCGTCACAGGACTGCCGCACACTGGATGGTTTTTTCTCTTTTCACACCATTCTTTGTAAACCCTAGAAATGGTTGTGCGTGAAAATCCCAGTAACTGAGCAGATTGTGAAATACTCAGACCAGCCCGTCTGGCATCAACAACCACGCCAGGATCAAAATTGCTTAAATCACTTTTCTTTCCCATTCTGATATTCAGTTTGGAGTTCAGGAGATTGTCTTGACCAGGACCACACCCAGTGCCGGCGCTATGGGGGGGCATTAGGGGGCAATGCCCCCCCAAATGTATTTTGTGCCCCCCCAAATTGAATTATGATATAATTTACAAAATAATATCAGTTTAATTTAATTCACATTTCAGTGAGAAATAGTACAAATATATGTCTACAAACGGCTCATTAGCTGACCCCCCAATCACGCACGTTAATACTTGAATGAAATGATTTTCAGTTGGCGCGACCGCGCGAGCTTCCTGCATTCAAAACAAAACAAAGCAAACAGATGAAAACTCTCCAAAAATGGAAATTAGAAAATGGTTCAGTACAGTTTCTCCTTACACATCGATTACCCCATACAGCAAGACAACGACAGTCCGGCTTTGGTATTTGGTGCTTCTACCGTGCAGTGTTGTAGTCGAGACCGAGACCAAAGACAGTCGAGTCCGAGTCGTAAGTGTAGCTATTTATCTAACTGGCATGTACTGTAATGTTCACTATGTGTTGTCACGTGATGAAACTAATAGTTTAGTTGGCCTAGTTTTTGCGCTGCCCATTGTCCTGAAATGTCACTCACTCCCGCCGTGGAGAAACAGGTGTTTAAGCCTATATTTTCTTGTAAATGGAAATTGTAGAATAATCTGTGTATGTTGTGGGTGTTTTTATTTGTTAAGGGTGTTAAAGGTTTTATTTGATAAAGGTAACTACATGATGCTTTTTTAAGGCTATGAATGTAAATGCTTATGTTAGAACATAGCAGAATAAAGATGAGTAACTTAGCTTTTTTTTTCTCACTTCCGCCATTGAGATAGCATATAAACGGCTATTCTGTCAGTGAGAGACTGTGTACATGTTCGTTAGCTTTGCTATTATAAAGCTGATGTGGTCAGAGTCGGTCTTGCAATTCTTTTTTGTATAGGCCTATTTAACCCTTGATCAAATTTCTTAAGAGTCGCTCGTCTTGCAACAATGTGTAATGTTTTTTATGTGTTTATTGTGTGGGTTGCATTACTTCATGTTAATAGCTAACAGAAAAGGCAGTAGCAATAATAAATATAGGATATCGAATATCGGAAAAAAAGTCCCCATACCTAGGCTACCTGCCCACCCATTGAAAATAAATGCCCCCCTGCTAAAAGCGGTCTGAAGCCGGCTCTGACCACACCCCTAAATGCACTGAAGCAACTGCCATGTGATCGGTTGATTAGATAATTGCATTAATGTTAAATTGAACAGGAGTTCCTAATCCTTTAGCTGGGTGTATTTGCATATTTATGACATATACTGTACGTTGGTGACAGTATAAGTGTCAATAAACATAAAAAAAAAAACAGAATACTACTACATCTTCATATAGGAGAAATAATAGTGTAAATTACTACATACATACTCTGGCAATATGCAAATTTAATGCATATACAAAGAAGTGAAAAAATCGAATCGAACTAATTTGCATGCAGGCTTCTTGCCTCTCTCTTTATTTTTTTCTTATTTAGTTACTCTGCACCAACTGCAATTCTTTGGGTGGCTGGCCATAAGTGATGCTCCAAACCATGTATGTGGATTTCACAGGTATCTTAATTGGAAAAAGATAGCTTGAAATTTGAAATAAGCTTCCACACAGGTTCTACAGACTAACCACAAGGCGACTGCACTCAAAGAAAATGAAATGCCTATATCACTGTCAATGTTGGTTGATTATTAAATTTGAAATCAAAATAGTTTATAATAAAATACCTTACCTGGAAACATCTAACAGGTATTTCTTTAAAAATTCACGCATTATATAATTACATGAGTTTTTTTATTGGACTACTTAATATGATGCACATTTTTAAATATTATGTTACATTCAATCTTCACAAGAATTAAGTTAAGTAATTAAAACACCAAAACTGGGGTGGTGATGGTGCAGTGGATAAGACACATGCCTTTGGTGTGAGAGACCCAGGTTCGAATCCACTGTGAGACACCAATGTGTTCCTGAGCAAGACACTTTTCCCCTAGATGCTCCAGAGGCGTGCGACCTCTAACATATATAGCAATTGAAAGTCACTTTGGATAAAAGCTTTGGATAAAAGCGTCAGCTAAATGAAAAAAAAAAATGTAAATGTAAAAAAAAATAATAATTTGATAGAATTTGCTCTATAATGATATTATGGTATTGATAGTTATAAATACTTTAAAAAGATCAACTAAATTTTGTCTAGAATGATATTTAAAAAGTCTGACAATCTAAACACATACAAAATGTAATACACCACTAATTAGGTTCTTTGTTAACATGATTCTTATATATTTTTTCAATTTAAATCATCTGTGCAAAAATGAGGCTTTAATACAAGGTTCTTCAAATTGACACAATAGTTAATTGCAGTATTGCTTACTGTAAATCACATCAGTGGATAAAACAGCAATATTTCCATTGTGCTGTCCATTGGGAGGCTCTCCAAGCTTCTCATGACAACATCTGCTGAAACATCTGACTCATTAAGTCTCCTGTGAAATCTGAATGGCAGTTCGTTGTAACAATAACATCTCCAAAACAAAAGCTTTTAATTCAGTTCTGCCATAAGGCACGATATCTTTTGTACTCTCTGATCTAATAAAAACAAGAATGAGAGCAAACTTCTGATCCAGCACTACTGAATTTACTTATGCTATGCTATATAAAACGAGTAATAGTTATCAAAAAATGAGGTAAAGTTTCAAGTATTGCTGTTGTTTACTGAACATATTTATTGAGTGCATGTAAGGGACATTGCTCACCAAGCATCATTGGGTCTTGTGAAGAGAAGCTCTGCAATTGCACAGACTAAACAGTGACAAATGTGGAAAAAAAAAAAACAGCATCACCACATCACAACAGCAAAACAAAGACACATAGAGAAAATATCCTGTAGAATTATCTGTGTAGGTCTGAACCAAACAGCTTCAAAAATAACATTATTTTTGCATTCCTGCATTGCATTCGAACAGCCTCTGATTGTTTATATTTCTATTTGCACACTAAATGCTTTTCCAAAAACATGTCCATTTGAAAGTTTATATTAGAAATAAATTAACTTGCTATACACAGTTGAAAAATCTTGCTGTTTTAATCATTTGGAACCAACTCTTTCTCCCCTGAGGTACAAAATTCAGCCATGGAACTATGAATACTCATACTTCTTGGAAGGCTTCTCCCTCTGATTTACACACAGATTTTTTGTTTTCATTTTGCCATAGGTGTATATATATATATATATATATATATATTTCACATAATACATATTTGTGTACTTCACCTGATCTGTGATTGCCATTAGCTTTTTTTGTAAACAAAGATGTAGGTAAACATTTCAATAATATAACTATAATATTTACAAGTAATCTGTCCATATAAATTTAACATAAAATACAACACGGACATTACGTATATGGTAACACTTTACAATAATGTGTGAACATTAGTGCATTAGGTATCATGAAATAACAATGAACAATAGGTTTTATAGCGTTTGTTAATAGGTAAATGTAAATTTATAAGTATAATTAATTACATAAATTCCCTTGACCAATTGTTGTTTAAATTAACAATCAGTTTTCCCCATGGTTTCAGAAATGGTATCGGATATCATTATTTTCCAAGTTATCGTATCGAAGTTAGAAATTCCAGTATTGTGACAACACTACCTCCAAGGACCTCAGTTCTAATATTATAGTAATATTGCTGGAATGTTTGTTTTGTTACTATACTGATTTTGTTGTACACTGTAGCTGAAGCTTTACGATAATTCCAACATCAAAATTTCATGTCCATGTTGCGAACACACATGAATTAAAAGTGAACAATAGTACTTTTAAATTAAATTAGCATTAATCTAAATTATTAATTACTATATAATGTTTATTATTAGTTTATGATAGTTAATCCATACTTAATGCAGTTTTATAAATATCGTTAAGGAATTAAACCTTATTGTAATGTGTTACCAAGTATATTTAAACTCTGTACAAAAACAAAACAGACATTCCACAGACTCAACATACCAAAGCAACATACAAACTTTGGGCAGTACTTTCCTGTTTATCTTTTGTGTAAAACAAATAGAGAGTCCAACAATAATAAGCGCCATTGTGCATTGAGATAAATAATCTATTTCTTTTGGAGTCAGGAAACTAGAGTTGCCAAGATGGTGAATTTCACTCTGCAATGCAGATGTGTACAGGGCTTCCATGTGGATGATTTCTGACTTGTCAGAATGGACAGTATAAATGTCCAACTCATTAGAAGTCAAAGCCAGATATGAGGTCAACGCAAACCCTCCAGTCTTGTCTGCCTCAAGGAAACAGGATGTAGGAGACAGAATCCTCAGTGATCAGACAGAATCCATTTCACTGGCTCGAGGAACAGAATAAAGTACTCTGAAAAAAATAAAAGGGTGCGCAGAAGGGAAGGGATCCATGACTGCATTGCTATGGCTGCAATGCAATACTCTACAATGAAGATAATCCAAAGGCAAATCAAATAGAATAGGTTCATGTCAAACGCAGTCAAAATGATCAAAATAGAGCAAGAATATTTTCATAAATATGAGAGAAACTGATTTTGAATCATGTTAGGAAAGATAATGCAGTTGTTAGAGACTATTGCAGTTGTTTGAAGGAAATTATACTTAACATGGTGAGTCACTAGGGAGAGGTGGAGATGAAAGTTCTCACGCTTTTCTCTTGGTTATTGCCCTGCTTTGAAATTTGATCCTTGATGACAAAATTTGATGATCAAAAAAATAAAAAAAATAAAAATGACCCAGTTCACAGTGATAATAGACCAAAGTTTGAGAAAACCGATGAACTGGGAATTGTTTCATCCCTCTTGAAGGTCATCCAGGATTGAAACGAATCAACAGGTGAGGTGGCGGAAACTCAAACCCCACATTGGCCTCTTAATGTTGGGATACGCATTGTGCCGAGACTTGCTTTTCTTCTCTTGCCCACTGTGCTCTTCCTTTACTTTCCCCTCTTCTGTATGGAGGAGGGAGATACCAGCCGTCTTGGCTTGATTTGCTCTTGTCTTGCCCCAGACAGTCATTTTTCCCTGTAACGGCAGCAAAACAACCAGTTAAAATATGTGGAGCTGATTTGGCAGATAAACATGCTCTTAGTCTGTCGGTTCGTGCTAACCCAGACCGCACTCCCATATGGGCAGGTTTTGAACAGAAGGGAGAAAGAACAAGAACAGTATGTGACTGTGCAAACTCTTTGCTCTGTGTGGAATTGATTAAGCAGTGCATAGGGGCCAAGTCTCCTGCTTTATCTAGCTTACATTTTCCTATTACGGTAGTGCTTGATTACTAGAATGCACTGCCTACAGGGTGTGATCCATAAAAATGGTGGTTTATAGATGCTGGCTTCTAATGCAGCAAAACAGGTATCATTTGCTTCACTTTAAACTTGCTTCAGTATTCAGTATTATAGAGATCTGGCTCTACAATGGCATTTCCCAATCTGCAAACTGTTTGAGAACAATGGCTTTGGCTTTGACAAGATTTACTTGCCATATGAATTACAAAGAGTGATAAATGCCTCTTTTTTATCCAATTATCCAGAGGCATTTATATGATGTTCGTAGTTGTCTGAGGTTTTCTCTGTTGCTAACCTTATAATGGAAGAGAACTATTTTTATTTCAATTCAAATAATTGATTGGAGAAGTAGAAGTACTGAAAAAGAATAATTATGTGAGTACACCAGTTCTTTGGTGACCATATTGCCCCGTCACGAGTCATAACCTACCATATTGAGTCCAGTCCCACAGCTTTGTTTGCATATGAACCTGAGAATAGTGTGGAATCAAACACCTTCGTGTCACAATTGTGGGCTTGTCCCATTGCCCTGGGAGGTGCTGACACACAGCAGCTGGTGTATGTAGTGTCTTGTCATGACATAAGTCAAAATCTTCCATAACCTTTGAAGCTATCAGAAGGTGAGATATAGCCATGTGCTTTAAATAACACAGTAATATTAGAACAATCTATTCAGCTGCTTCAAAGATTTGTTGACCTAGTGAACTGTGAACCGGTTGCCTCTGTATATTTGTGTAAGCACTGCTCACTCAAATACTTGACTGTGTTTAGTCTTGAAGGTCATTTCAGTAGAATAATATTAAACGTTAAACTTTATTACATTTTTCCCATGAATCTACACTTGAATATTTCTTTCAACACTGCATGGCAACATTTTTACACTATAGCATCATTTCAATTATGTAAATAGAAGATTACATCCACATAAATCTTATTATACAACAATTAGTTTTGGTCCCAGAATTTTATTGGCAGAGTGAAGTTCCACTGTGTTACATCAATATAGACCTTAGTAGGTTAGGCGCCATATTGAATTTAATGTAGAGGAAAACAAGGCTGTGAGGAATAGATTTCTCATTCAACCTATTTGTTAGTTTAACAACACTGATTCAGGAATGAAACATGTGAATAGCTTTTTGAGAGTGATATTGATTTATTCTTTTAATCTATTAGTTCAAAAACTTATTCAGTCAGAAATGACAGTGACTTGCTTAATGAGTGAGTCATTGAATCGTTTAGTTAACCAATTCGTTAAAAAAGGCACCCATATACCCAGATTTGCACAAACACTATATTAATATTGCACTGTTTGTATATTTGTAAGTTATATTTGTAATTTACGTGATATTTTTCTCTTTTTTACGGCATTTCAGGATGGGAAAGCAAAGTAAGAACTTCATTGTATAGGGAACCATAGTTCCCTGAGATAGGGAATGAGATGAAGCGTTGATGCTTTGGGAAAGCCTCCAGCGTGAATGTGTCTGAATCATCTATCTTAACTAGACCAGGAAAAGATAAAGTGCATCCGGTACAAACTGGCATTAGCTTTGGAAATTGCAGAAGCAAGTCGATCGCAAGGATGCGGCAAGTATGGCAGGGTGACGCTTCGTCTCGTTGCCAGTGGTGGAAAGAGTACTGAAAAACATACTCAAGTAAAAGTACCATTACATTCCAAAAAAGGTAGTGTGAGTAGAGTAAAAAGTACTTGTCCAAAAAACTACTTGAGTAAGAGTAAAAAAGTAGCTTATTTAAAAGTACTCATGAGTAGTGAGTAGTGAGTACTGAGGTGCGGATTCTACCCCTTATAATAAACACTGTGCACTACAATTTATAAGTTTTTAAAAAAAATTGCACATACTGTAATTCACATTATATTTTGTTCTTTGTAAGAAAGATTGAAGAATATCTATCATCCATCTTTTTAAAATGCATCGAATCAGTACACTCATCACAATTTAAAATCATATTATTTGGGGGGAAGGCATTTAAAATTAGGCGAAAAGCCATTGGGCCTGAGCATGCTATTTTTGCACATAAAATATCAATATTCATGACTGTGCAAAGAATTCAAAAACTTTTAGAAACTCATATGATAGTTCAGCATCACACACCAAGAAATGGGTTAAAGTTTTCTATGCTTAATTTGATTTGATGACAGTCACGAGACCGATTACTCGATCCAATCACGTTGATGGATAAAAATAAAATTAAATTAAAACAAGCATGTAACGAGTAACGACCACAAACAGAAGGAAAATAGCGGAGAAAAAGTACCAGTACATCACTTAAAATGTACTCAAGTAAAAGTAAAATTACACAATTTTAAACTTACTCAAAAAAGTAGAATTTCTGAAAAAAACGACTTAATTACAGTAACGTGAGTTTTTGTAATTCGTTACTTTACACCCCTGCTCGTTGCCTATCTCAGGAAAATATGGTTACAGACGTAACCTGAGACGTTCCCTTTCGAGGGAATTCACAATGCGTCGATGGCACTTTGGGACCTCCTCCAGCTTGAATGCGTCTGAAGCATCTATGTCAACTAGTCAAATGGAAAGAATGAGCGTCACGGGCAGGTGATGTCATGACCAGGAAAAGGTAAAGCGCATCCGGTACAAATTGGCATTAGCTTCAAAAATTGCAGAAGCAAGTCTATCGCAAGTATGCAGAAAGTATGGAAGGGTGACGCATTGTCTCGTTCCGTATCTCAGGGAACTATGGTTACAGACGTAACATGAGACGTTCCATGGAACTCACAATGCGTCAACGACGAGAATATCCAAATCGACAAACTTTCAAGTACCTGAGTGTCAGCCTATTCAGGGGCCAAACCCACAGCTAGGGGCACAATATTGTGCCCCCTACCTGAGACGGAAGGTCTCTCTTGATCCCAAGAGAGGGCCGTCGAGGAGAAGAATTAGGTCCGCAAACCAAATTCAGCTCGGCCAGCGTGGTGCTACTAGCATTAGGCTTATTCCATTCTGGGGGATTATCTCCAGAACTCCTGAAATCAGACGTGGAAACGCCTCGGCCACGTCTGCACAAAGGTTATAATCGTTAACGAAAACGAAAGAAAAAACGAAAACTCATTAACTGAAATTAAAATTAAAAATGAGGCTTGACAAAAAAACATTAACTAACTAAAACTATAATGTGTGTTTGGCAAAACTAACTAAAATAAAATAAAATAAAATTCGTTTTTAACGTCTTTGTCAACGTCTTTCATTTTTTAACGCTATTTAAAACATGCAGTGTATTCGTTCATCATTTTCTTTTCCCTGCTCTCCCTTCGTCTTTCTGTCACATGCACACACACACACACACACACAACCCTCCCCTCCGTGACCATGCACACCGCATCTTCATGAAAACGAGGGTTCGACGTTGAAAGCAAGTTTGTGAAAGTTTGATATCTCGTGATCACATTTACACCATCACACATTAAAAAGTGGTGTAAAAAAATATTTTAAATTCTTAATACAGTTTTATTAGCGTGTTAATGTTGACCCGAGAAACGACTGCGTCTTCTTTAGAAAGTTAACTAGTTGCAAATTTGAAGTAAAATGCACTTGGGTTGTCGATGTCAAAACACTATAAGCTGTGATTCAAATATTAAATAATGTTATGTCATCATTTTACTTTTACAATGAATGTTTGTCGATTCAATCCAGATGAGTAATCAGGAGATTCCCACTAGATTAGAAGTAGCTTTTTTTAATGGTTTAGTGAGAGAAGCCGGTGCCTTCAGGGACGATGCTGAACCGCTAGCTTGTAAGCGTCTGTTCTACCAGGCGCATTGCCCCATTTCACACTCTCTCAACCCCCAATATTTGAATTTGCATAAACTTGCGGGCTGAAACAAGATGAGTAAGGCATTTTTCCTGATCTAGACAGCTCACTGTGCAAATCGAGAAAAAAATGGAAGGCCCCGTGATGGAGGTTAAACAATAGAGGGAAGGAAGCGCCCCTTTTCCCTGCTGGCCATTCAATATTTATCTACAGCCTTAGTAATCAACTCCACCAGCTCCTCATACACTGGGGAAATAGATGGCGAAACCTTTCCCCCATGATTGTGTCACTTTCAATGCTCAGCACATCTACCTCCTCAGAGGTAGAGCACCGAAGCATTGGTCGCTCTCCCCAAAATCTCTCTCCGAGGGCTTCCGAGACCAGAGAGAGCAATGGATCCCTTGGGAAAAGGAGGAGAAACGATCCCCGGACCTGTCTCCAACCCCATAAAGAGATCCATTTGCGATCCCCATGGAATCCAGTCCTGCACCCTGAGAACCGCGAAACTGAACACTTTCTTTGAAAAGTGACAGGCGAGAGCGGAGCATGTGAAGCGAAAGCTTCTCACAATGCTTGTACCCTGTAAGGCTTATACCGCAATCTCCACTCCCAAACACATCACACAAAGCTTGTGTGTCCCCACTCATTAAATAACTCGAGCAGGGAGAAACACAGAGTCTGTGTAATTGTTTTGCCATAGTGTTTAAATATATATATATCAAACACACAACAATAAATATAACAGACAGATTTACACAGATCGCTTGCTGAGGCAACAGAAGCTAATGCCGGTTTGCACCGGGTGCGCTTTATCTCTTCCTGATCATGACGTCACCGGCCAATGACGCTCATTCTTTCCATTGGACTAGTTGACGTTCAGACACATTCACGCTGGAGGTATTCCCAAAGCATCATCGACGCACCCTCGAAAGGGAACTAGATAAA